CAGTTGCACTCACTCCAATCATTGCAAAGTGTTTTGACAGAGTAGTGCTGGCCTACATCAAGAGCAATATTCCACACTCTCTGGATCCTCTGCAGTATGCATACCGGCCCAACAGGTCTACGTCAGACGCCAATGCTGCTGCCCTTCACCATTCCCTCTCCCACCTGGAAAATAATGACTCCTACATCAGGGTAGTCTTTGTTGACAACAGCTCCACCTTCAACACATCATCCCTCACAAACTCACCCACGAACTGTCTACACTTGGCCTGCACCCCACCCTCTGTGACTGGCTACAAGACTTTTTGGCTGGCAGGCCTCAGTCTGTCAGGATTGTCAACAGGACTTCAGTCAGCATTATTACAACCACTGGCGTCCCACAGGAATGCGTCCTCAGCCCCATCCTCTACACCCTGTACACCCATGACTGTGTCGCCTCCAACAAAAACAACATCATGCTGAAGTGACTCTGCAGTGATCGGTCGCATCACTGGTGGCGACGAGGCGGCTTATAGGAGAGAGGTGACTAGTTTGGTGTCATGGCGTGAGGACAACCTCACCCTCAACACTGATAAAACAAAGGAGATGATAGTGGACATGAGGAAGAAGACGAGGCCTCACCAGCCGCTGTTTATCCAGAAGAGTGAAGTGGAGAGCGTGAGCAGCTTTAGGTACCTGGGCGTCCACATCAGTGAGGACCTCACCTGGACACTGAACACCACACAGCTGGTCAAGAAGGCTCAGCAGCGGCTATATATCCTGAGGAGGCTGAGGAAATTTGGTATGTTGGCCAAGATCCTCAACAGCTTCTACAGCTGCCACGTGGAGAGCACATTGACCAGCTGCATCACTGCATGGTATGACAAACACCTGCAGAGAGTGATAACAGCTGCGGAGAAGATCATCAGGACTCCCCTGCCCACTATGCAGAGCATCTACATCGCAGAGTCCAGAGGAGAGCTGCCTCCATCCTCAAAGACTCCACACACCCTCAACACGTACTGTTCACACTTCTACTCTCGAGACAAAGGTTTAGAAGTGTGAAATCCAGAATGTCCCGACTCAACAACTCCTTCTTCCCCACTGCTGTCAGACTCCTGAACAGCTGACCTACCTGAACTGCAATTTGCACATCAGGACACTTTGCACACTAAAATCATTTTGCACATTAAGCTCCTTTGCACATGCATCTACATCGATATCTGCATACGACATCACTTGTCTCAATCACTTGCTTTTTTTTACTTATTTATTTATCTTTCATTATTTTTGTCCTTATTTTTTTTATGTTTATTCATCCTAATATTTTGTCTTATTTTTATCCTTATTTATCTTGTTCCTTTAACCCTTACCTAACTTGGCATTCGTGTATGGACAGAAAAGGAAGCATTTCATTGCACAGAGAAAAATGCTCTTTCTTCTGTGAACATGACAATAAACACTTTGAATCTTTGAATCTTGAATCTTGAACAATGGGAAGAAAAACACACCTGTTCACCTGGGTTCAGCCTGTCAGCAATGAATAAAAACATATCCTAGGAAAATGTAACTGGGTGGTTGAAGCCTCTATTTACAGTATTTTATTTCAATAGTTTTTTCTTATTTTTCAGAGAAAACGGCCATGTGATTTCTGTTATCATTTACTGTATTTTTCTTTATTGTTTTAAACAAAATATTGATTAAACTGAATGCCAACATTTTACTGCATTTTTATTAGAAGAGTATGCACACATATTTGCATAGTGCAGTATACATAATTATGCACATAGTGCATATTTACAGTTTGCCCAGCTTGTTGTACATTGTGCTTCTGGCACACCAGAGTGTCCCTTAATTGATAGTTCAAAAATTAGCAACGCTGGTTGCCAAATGATGTCATTTGATGGTCAACTGGTTCCAGGAAAATGTCTTGGAAAAGGAAATACAATGTTACAATTCAAATGTAACAATGACATTTGATTTGTAACATTGTAACATTGTAACAATGACAATTTTTTTCTCTTCTGAGAGAAGGCTACTGCTGGTTTTGTTCTTCTGATTTGACAAAAGAGTACACACAGTCTGCGCAGTTACTCTTCTTCTTTCCTTGTCTCATCTCCCTTGTAGAGAAATCCAACGGTGCATAGTTAACATCTTTTGCTTCTCCATCCTACAGAAATATATTTGTTAATGAAAAAATATTTTAGATTTTCTTTATTGTAGCTATATTATCAACTCAGCAGTCAGAAATACAGCATATATGCAGACTAGATGATCACACAAGGCAGAAGGCAACTGAAGACCTGCTCTGGCAACAGTAAAGCAGAGAACAGCACATTAACAGCAGCTCGAATTTTGCTAGATTTGGAGAGAGCTCAATCCTTCGTCAAGCTTTATATGTTAGAATGAGCCAGCAGCTTTGTGTGTTCTTGTCAAATATCATGTGTCTTGTATGGAAACCTTTCTTCTGGGCTGCTGTTCTGTGTTTTTTGTAGTGAAAATGTAGCTTACTTATGTTTTGGAAAAAACAATTACAAAAACAATTTGGAAAAACAAAAATTTATATTTACCAAATCCTTTGTCGGATTTGCAACTGACTTGTTATGTCCCAGACGATGAGAAACACTTGTTGCTCCTGTTAATAAAATCAAAGGCTGCATATCAGTATGTAATAGTTTTCATTCTCTAAGAAAAAAAAATGAACAAATATTTTTTTAAATATTTCTTTTTGACCCTGGTGTATAATGTATGCAGATGTTATGCTGAGGAGAACTGTGAAAGAGTTTTGCTCGGGGGCATCTGGATTAATGAGCCTGTGGTTGTAACTTAGCCAAGGACATCTTAGTGGGCTGTAAATCTACAATCTTTTAACAACATTCATGAAATACTGGAGCCTAATAATTGATTTTGAGAATTAGTTTTACTATTAAAAAACAGAATTTAAATAAAAAAAATATTACTGCAGTAGAATCGTATTAATATCATATTCTAGATATATATGCAAATAATATAAATGTCTATAATCAACCTTTGAAATGACAACAAGTCATGCAGGACATGAGGACGATGATTACAGTCACACAGCAGACCAACAGTCCTCCAAGAGTCAGAATAACTGGGTCCAGTTCTGTTCCTAGAAGAAGAGAAATGTTTACTACGCTCAAACAAATGTTATATTTTGGCAAAACATATTCTTGGAAGTATTTTGGCAGTTTTTGGCAAACAGTTAACAGCAACATAATTTTCTGGTAATGCTAAATTGCTTAACTTTTTGTCTCCTTCCTCAGAATCTTACCTTTGTAGACAGACAAACACATTTTTTGGCAGAAAGCTGAGTATAATAATATTTGATGAATTTCTGTATGTTTGCTTAAGGTGACAGTTTAGGTCTTCTTCCAGATCCTGACAGTGTGGTGACTAAGATGAATAACATTTCATTAAGATTCTGCAATGGCCCTCCAAAAGCTCTGACCTCAGTCCTACTGAGAATTTGCAGACTGTTCTTAGAAGCCAGGCATGAAATTTTGCTAATAAAAGTGGTCAAATATCCACCCTGAATTCTGCCGTAATGCATCCTGGTAGCTACCAAAAGTGTCTGGTCAAGTTTTTAAGAAATATTTAACCAAATATTAATGAGGGTACATGTATACTTTATGCCTGTATATATACTTTTGATTCTGTGAGGATTAGAGGAAGTTAAGCTTGAGCATCTTAGTAAAGATTCATGGTGGAGTCATTTCACCCATGAAAAAGAACAGTTCAAAGAATTCATTCCCAAATTACCATCATTCATGCTCATCATGCATGTATGTAACCTTTTGACCACAGCTATATGCATGTAGATATGATAAAGAGAGTCTGCTGAATTTCAAAGTGACATGAAATATTATTTAAGCGTCTCTGAACATAGCGTCATAGTGTCAGACAGGAAGTTGGGAATAATTTTCAAATTGCTGATCTACTGGGATTTTCATCACGCAGCCATCTAGGCTTTATGGAGAATGAAAAGTGAATCTAGAAGAAATAAAATCCAGTTAGCAGCAGTTCTTCAGGTGAAGATTCCTTGTTGATATTGAGGTCAAAGGAGAATGGCCACACTCCTCAATAACTCAAATTATAGCCAAGGTATGCAGAATAGCATCTCTGAATGCAACATGTTGAACATTATAGCAGATGGGCTACAGCAGCAGAAGACCACTCTGTCAGCTAAAAACAGGAATCTGAAGCTACAGCTTGCATGGGCTTGGACAAAAGAAGAGTGGAAAGCTCTTGCCTGGTGTAATAACAGTTAATTTCCACTGAGTCATCTGGATGATAAGGTCCAAATTTGACATAAACAACATGGATACTTTAGATCAATGGTTAAGGCCCCTGGTGGTGTAGTGATGTGGGTAATACTGGTTATTTGAACATTTCAACTACTGTAACAAATAAACAGTAATACAACCTTATTTTACCTTTTACATTCTTTCTTTCAGTACAGATGTGAAATACATCAAAGGTAAAAATGTTCTACACAATGAAATACATTTTGCTTTTCACAATGTCACCACATTTTGTTTTAAGTAATGTAGCCGTTTCAAAAATATATATGAAATTATGATTTCAATACAACCTTTAGAGTTGGCTTGTGCTGACTTCTACAGATAACCCATACAAATACCAAACAGCCAATCAAGTTCAGCCTACCTGTTTTTATATGTGTAAAAGAGTTCAGGATATTAGAGACTGGACATACTTACTTGTGTCCACTTTAGATCCTTCACCAAACAGTATCACTCCACATGTGACGACAGCACAGTAGTAAGTCGAGTATCAGAGAGGTTCTGTATTGTTTTGGACAGATGGTAGATGCAGCGTCTCTCTGTATCATCCATGCTGTTTCTATGAGTGACATTTCTATAAATGATACTTGGATGGTTTTCTCCTGATACACTTTTGAACCAGTGCACACTGTGATCACTGGGACACTGAGCACTGCTTTTTTTGTTCTTAGTGAGAAATGAACGTTTGTGTCACATAAACAGATGTCTGGTGTTTCTAATCTGTGTGATGTATTAAAAGTAGAGTTTGAACAGAAATGACTGAGCTCAGTTATTTGCAAGATGGAAAACATTTGTAATTATTGACAGAAAAAAACAACACCAATATACACCAATCATAATGTAGCATTTTTTACCATTTAAAGCCAAGAAGAATCATGTTGTAAAAACTCGGTTCCAGTTTGACAAAAGTATGTTGCTTCATCCTCTTTGTTTATGTGATCGATCGTAACACTGATCATTTGATTTATGGACATGGAAACGTGTATGATTAAATGCACTGATGAGCTCTATCTTCTTATAAACTACTGTAGCTACTGTTTGGACCATTTTCCCAAGAGACGGCTTATACCAGTGGAAGAATCTGTCTGTCTTCTGAGAGAACGGACAGTGAAAAGTGGCAT